AAAAATTTGATTAAAAACATTGAAATACTTCTTTTGAATTTTGATAAAAAAATTAAAAGTAAAACTTTATGCCTGATTTAAATGGATTTTATATGCAGACTTTTTATTGTCTGCCATTTAAAATTAAATATTGGAAATTAATACACATGAAAAATACATAAAGCTAAATTAAAAACAAACATTTCAAAATTATTTAATGATTACCTCATAATTTGTACTTTTTGTTTACTAATTAATATGTAATTTTTAGAGCATGTACTTTTTTAGAGTGCGGCACTTCTTTATTATTAGCCAAAGAATACAAAATTAAAGAATAAATATTTATGTATTTTAAATAAAATGCCCTTTCCCAATGTTAATATTTTCCTTTCAAGAAATGTAATTAATTGTTTGTATTTTCAGAATATTTAAATGTATAAAATTTTATTAGATTATTTTTTAAATTTTATACTTAAATAAAATATATGTAGGTATTCTAATATAGAGTATGTAAACCTCTAATAGATTAAGAATAAATTTTAAAACTTAAATTTAAATAAATAAGGATATTTAAAAGTCATTATTTATTCGTAAATGGACATTAATTTTGGTTCGATTAAAATGTATTTAAAAATGAAGAAGGATTTCAGATTTGTAATCAACAATTTATTACCATTTTTATGACTAGAGATTGGACCAAGTAAATGTTTCACGTCGACAAATCAAATTTTTTCAAATATTTTCAAATAACAATATAATATTTGTTTGATGACAAAAAAGTCAAAACCTTGATCAAATAATTTAAAATTATTTGATTTTCGCCAGAAATTGTATTTTTGCCAAGAAAATAATTAAAAGGATTAAAAGGATTTTACTTTTCTCTTTAACTTTTTATATACCTACTCATCTTTTTAACTTTTATTGCAAATCCCAAAAAAATTTTACTTCCAAAATTATATTTTATTTTATTCTATTTTTGTCACTTAAACAAAAAAATTTTATTGACAACCATATTAAATTTTAAAAAATTTAGAGAAAATTATAGAAATATACCTCCACATAATTTACCAACAAAAATTAAAATTACCTCAAACGTCATAATTACCCAAAATTAAAATTATTTGTTTATATAACTGGTATTAATTAATTCTAAAAATAATTTTTTAAAGGGAAATAAAATTTATTAATTTATTTTTTGCAAACACAAAAATTTAAAAATAAATTAATTCAATAAAAATTTTTGCCGAATTTTTAAAATTTTTGCTAAAAATTAAATTTATTTATATTTAATTTCTTGCTAATTTTTAAAAATTGTAAAAAATTTATTAATCAAATTTTTAGTAAAGAAACAATATTTATTTTAGAAAAATAAAAATTAATTAATCCAAATAAACATTTATTTATTTTTATAAGAGGCAGACCTCAATTCTGCCCGAATTCTACTCTTTAATTTTTCTGATTCTAACACAAAAAGAAATTCATCAGTGCAAACTGTGAATCTAACCCTTGTATTGTGAATATTAAAAATTTGTAATTTTGTATATTTAAATCCATCTAACTGTTTAATTTCAACCATTTCTGCTTTGTTACTTAATTCAAATTTTGGAGGTGAAGAAAATTGTAAAGAAATATTATCCACCACTTTTGAGAGGTCTTTGGATGTTGTTATATGCTTAAATATATTTTTAACATATTTGTAAATAACGGTAATAGTAGTTAAGTATTTATTACGCATGGCCCAGAATTCAAGACAGTTGATACTTCGTAGAGACGTCGAGACCGAAAATTTTCCAACGCCGCAGGCAAAAATTTTGAGAATTTTGACTAACTAGGCTACCAGATTTTTTCCTTTTCCTGCGCCGCAGGCTAAAATTTTGAACATTTTGGAAGGGCAAGCGCCAGATTTCTTCCATTTTGGAAATAAAATAAAGAAACCAAAAAAGTTCAATCCTTAGGGAAGTAAGTTTAGAGAAGCCCAAAAAAGTCGAGACCAAGCCCAAGACTACACCCCAAGACCGAAAAAACCCAAGAAAAGTCTTGGAATCAAGACTCAAGACCAAGAGTCTCGGACGCTCTAATACTTCGCAAGGAGAAGAAAAAACTTTCATATAGATAACCTACTTCAACAATAGCATTATATAACCATTTCACCCTAACATTTATTAACTTAATTTCTGGTAATTTACTTCCTTCAGTTGTTAAGATATTGAATAATTTACGCTCCGCGTATAGGGAATGGATGTTATCCACATTGATGATAAGACATTTAGAAGTTGTCAAATGATTTGAAACGAAATTCCAAATATTATCAAATCTTTCATTGCCGCTAGGAAATAGATATGGGGTTTGAATGTTAATTGCTTTATCGTTATCAAATAACAAATTGATCATTTCTGGATTAAACACAATTTCACCAAATAAGGCATATTCAAAAATACAATTAAAAAGTTGTTCCAAACAGTAACGAATAATTTTTTGTTCAAAATTTTCTGGAAAGGTTGGCAATTTTAGAATATAACAACGAGGCTCGTTGTCTAATAAATAGTCAAAGGTTCTCTTAATACAGATAAAACAGTCTCTGCGGTAATTAGAAAGGTACTTTTCGGTTATGAGGTTACACATTTACAAATTTTAAAAAGTTCTCAAAATGGTCAATATATTATATATAGGGTATATAAAGGTGCTGAGTCGAACGGTACCAATCTTTTTTCACAGAGATTCTTGTGGACCGAGATATAGGGCTCGAAATGGTCAAAAACCATTGCTCATTTTTTGGGCTTAAAATTCCATTTTTTGAATGAAAGCTCATTCGAAAGAGCTCCTCGAGCTGAGTCGAATGACAACAAAATCAGACCGAAATCTTGATTCTGAAAGCAAATGAACAAGCTCAAAATGGTCAACGTAAACCTATGGAGCGTGATGGTTTTTGACCATTTCGAGCCCTATATCTCGGTCCACAAGAATCTCTGTGAAAAAAGATTGGTACCGTTCGACTCAGCACCTTTATATACCCTATATATAATATATTGACCATTTTGAGAACTTTTTAAAATTTGTAAATGTGTAACCTCATAACCGAAAAGTACCATTAGAAAATCTCCTGTGCTCAGAAAAGATAGCAGAATTATATAAAAATAATGGATTGAATCTGTCTTTAGATGTCGGCCACCGAAAAAACTGAAATAACTTTTGGATGGAAATAGAACCATTTAATTTTTAACCTCGCTATTACGTTGATAATTTAAATTATATTTAACAAATCTAGATTCGGGTTCATTGACTTTATACGAATCCAAGTCTCGAATATCATCCTCCTGAAATTCAATTTAAACGATTTTTAGTTAATACATATTAACTATTGAAATTTGTTTAAATTTCATTCTAAAGCACAATTCTCCCTCATATTTATTAATTAAATTGAGAAAGTAGAAATTTGTCAATTTAAAAGAAGTTAATTGATTAAAATCAAGACATTTTAATACATCAAGTTTTGTTTCAGTTGGAAGAGAATACATTTTTAATTATCTAAAAAATATATGTAGATTTAAAATATTATTCCTAAAATGAGTATGTATATGCCAAGTTTTAGGGTTCCATTTTTTATTGTTTATTTTTTCCTTTTATTTATACTTTGGATAAACATTGTCAATTAGAACTGGATCAATTTTTGTTTCTTCTCTCCTCCTTTTATAAAGTGACTTTTGGGTAAATACATATTTTAATTTTTGTTTATTTCAGTCATTTTATGCCAGTCTATAAAGATAAGTGACTGTCTCTACGTGTTAGAACCAATGGTCCTATATTTAGTGCGTACCAAAACTCTGGGTAAGTAGAGCTCAGTTTACATAAAAGATCTTTTGGGAATGTGGTGAACCTTGTGAAATTGAAATGTTACATACATCCAATCTGGGTGACTCACAATATAGAATTTTCTCTCATCATATATGAAAATGGAGAGAATAAACACATTGAAAATAAATAATATTTTTTTATTGTCATTAAATATTTGTCAAAAGCAAAAATAAAATGAAAAAGGGTGTGATTTGTGATTTAAAATATTTTAAAGTAAATTAGGTAGCTTCAACTTCCAAAAGATGAGCAAATAAATTACGAAAAATATAAAATAATTAAGAATTATTGGGGGAATTAAGAATTAACACGGTAATTAATTACTGATCCTGTTAAAAATGTTGCAAGTAATTTTATAGACTTGAAAATTTTATCAAAAGTGAATTTAATTTTTTAAACATTTTTTATACTAATAAATAGTAGTATATTACGTCCTTTCAAATTCTAGACATTCATTTTAGTGATATCGATGCCAGAAATTGATCCTTTCTTGTATTCAATCGTAAATGCAAATTTCATTCTCGAATCATACATATTAGCAATTTCGTATCTTGTATATCTTTTATCAAAAACATCTAATTCCCCAATTTGAACATTTTCGGCCCTTTCTGGTAATTTGAAATTTGGGAATCTCATATAATTTAACTCAATTTTAGCAATCATTTTTGAAAAGTCTGTAGCTGTTGTTATAAACTAAAATTAAAATTTATTTTTGACTTATTTATACCTAGGGAACGGATTTATATTAGCTATCAATCGAAAAATCACAAAATATGACTGAAATATGAACTAAAATCAAAATATGGATCAAATACATATGGACCAAAAACTGAAAATTTTCATTTTTAAGCAGTAAAATGTTAATTGAGTTAATTTTGATGCATAATATCACAATTAGGTGTGTTTTGGAAGTTTAGGACAAAAAATTTAAAAATACAAATAACTATTTGCATGAGTTCGGCGAGCCGATTAGATTGATACCGAAACCAGCTTGATTCGTAATTCTGCACAAACTTATGATCAGATGTGTAAAGCATATAGCTTTCTATTTCCCAAGGCTATGCAGTAGGCGGCGTGTTGTAATGGCCTTTTGCACTAGCTAAAGGAGAGAAATAGCCAACTAGGCCAGGAAAAAATATGGAAATCCATATAAATCTGTTCCCTGTTTATAATTAATTTACTTCTACAATGAGCTCATAAAGCCTTGTTAACTTGCCACGTCTTAAACTTATTCGTGGAAATTTATCTCCTTCATTTATTAAAATATTGAATAAAATATTTATATATTGCTCAGCATTGTCATAATATATAAATTTAATTGCGAGAAAGCTGGTATTTGCTAAATGATTCATAATGAAGTCCAACATGTTTTCAAATGTGTTTTTGTTAGGAGACAGAGATGGTTTATTAACGTGAAATTTAGGTGGTGTCTCAAATAATATATTAAGCATTTCTCGATTAAACACAATTTTATTAAAAATGCAATGATCAAAGGAACATGTAAGAAGTCGTTCTAACCAACAACGAACAATAATCATTTCTTCAATATTTTTTGGAATTGTTGGCAATTTTAGAATATAATAACAACAATGATTGTCCGCTAAATATAAAAACGAATTAAATAATTTGCGGGATAATTATTTCTAATTTGTTTATAATTGACAAAGTTAATGGGTAATAGTTTGGAATTCGCCCCCCTTTTTTTCAACGTTTCCCTGACCATTTTGAGCTTTCTTGTTTGATACATAATTTAACATATATCATTCGAAAGAGCTCTTCGAGCCTGGTCGAATGATACCATGATTGGCTAGATCTGATCATACTTACCAAAATTATACTTACCACAACTTTGTTCACTTAAGTCTGATTTCGTTGATTTTAATGTCATTCGACTCAGCTCGAAGAGCTCTTTCGAATGATATATAATTTGCCACAAAAATTTTAAATAATCGAAAAAAATAAAAAGGAAAAAAAAGGGGGGCGAATTCCAAACTATTACCAGTTAATGTTCCTAATTATTAAATTATTATTTTGTAGACAAATATTTAAAACCTGTAGCCATACAAAGAAGTGGTTCTATATCATATTCTATATCATACTCGCCTATAAACACCGGAATTGATTTGCCTATTGCCGTTTGCCACTGGAAAATAGATATAATTTGATTAATTCAAAATTAATTTAACCTTCTTTCTAAGTTCATCATTTAAGGTAAATTCAAAAACTCCAGATTGAAGATCGATAGATTTATATGAATCTAGCTTTTGGTTTGCATCAATCTAACAAATTGAAAAGTTATTTAATAAATACCTATCTACTATTGAGAGGTTGAAAAATTTCATTCGTGCCAATTCCCCCTCATATTTATTAATTAAACTGTAAAAGTAATAATTGGTTTGTTTAACAGCGAATAATTCGTTGAAATTAAGATATTTTAATATATGAAGCTGAACTTCGAGTGGTAGAGACAACATTTTAATGTCTAAAACACTAAATTTTATTATTTAAAACAGACAAATTGTATTATGGATAAAATAGAGTTTAATCGTTGGTTTATTTTTGTTGGAAAAAACGATTTATTTCATTTTCTTCTTTTTATTTTTCGATTTTTTGCGTAAATCGATAAAAGGAATAAACATTTAGTAATCTAATAGCAACCCCCATTTCTGACATCAACATCATTCAACATTTAATCTAAGAGAAGAACACTTTAAATACAATTTGTTATCTAACAAAAAAATAAAATTTGCAATTTTATCATTGTCAAATCTTTAATCCTATTATAGCGCCGCAGGGAAAATTTTGAAAATTATCAATGGTCAAAAGTCTTTTTTCCCTAAAATATAATAAAACTTTTATCGGTTGGTATCATCGGTATTTTAGATTTCCGTACGGCCGTAGTACGATACAGTCCGGGCTCTAGTTAAAAATGGAATAAATAAATTTTATAAAAAGACAGATTCATAAAAACAGTGATATTGTTTTATCTATTGTTGTCTGCCACTGAAAATATAATTGAAATTCAATCAAAAATTAATTTCCAGATCTAGATTCAATGAATTTTTCTGAACGTGCTAATTCTAAGAAAGTCAGGATCAACACAAAATTAATATAAATAAAATAAATTATTCAATAAATAATTATTCAATAATTACATCGAGAGTTTATTGGCAGGGAGTTCCGTAAATAGAGAGTGGTATCGTTCGACTCAGCTCGCCGAGACAAATCGAATGGTTGTGTTTCTTATCGAAATTTTGCCTCCGGTATACTATACTAATTCCAAAATTTTTCTAAAATTTTTTTAACTAATTTCGTTTTTTCGCGTTTCGCATCTTTCGCATTTTTCACATTTTTTGGCGCGAAAAGTTTAACATTCCGCATTTCGCTTTTTATTTATTTCGCCCAGCCCTGTTATAGTGTTAGCTAACAACTCCAAATTTCAGAATTTTTAGTTTAAAATTAATAAAGTTATGATTTTTTAAACTCATCTAACTCTTATTTTTAATTATCAAGTGAGGTTAGAGATCAGAGAGTAAATTGTTTTTCTCTCATTATTAAGCGGTATTTGTTTAATCATCTTTTTTATTATTCCACCGATTTAAACAAATGATATATCATTCTAAAGCTCTTGAAAAGTTGATTATTTTTAATAATTGGATCAAATTTATCTGGATATTATTTAAAAAGCTAGAGGTCTTAAGAGAGGATAAGTTCGCTATTTTGTATTTAATAAATTAATGAAATCAATTTAATTACTAGAAAGAATTTTTATACTTCTTTTAAAAAATTTTTTAAACCATAAAATAGAAAAAGTAAAATTTTAAAATAGAAAGGAAAGATTTAAAAAGATATTTTGCTCAAAATATAACATCCAAATAGAGCGAAAATAATTTTTTTAATAAAAAATTCGAATTTACTCAACATCGTCTCACAAGTCTCTTCCACTAAAAACTAAATAAAAATTAATTTAATTAATTTAAAAAACATACAATTTATATTCAAATTGAATATCTTCATTATAAACAGAAGAAGCTTAATCATCAACATTTAACGCATCACGTACTGCTTGAAGAAATATTTCTTTTGATGTATCACGATAAGGATCATTAAGTCTTCTAGCAAGTTTTTTAACATTTTGTTCATATTTATTTCTGTAAAATATTTAAATTAATTAATTTTTTATATTAAATTAACCGTTTTTTCAATATTTTATTCAAAGCATCTTCAAATTGTTGGTGAAAATGAGGAGCTTGAACCCAAATACCAACTTGAAGATATTCAACAACTGAAGCATTATAACGTTGATCACCAAGTAAAGGAATACAAATTACTGGAACACCAGCATATAAAGCCTTTTTTAATTTTATATTAAATTAAATTTTTTATTTTAGTTAAACCAACACCCTTTGGTTTAATTATTTTAAATTAAAAAATAAGAATTAAATTTAATTAATTACCTCAGTTAAACTATTCTGTCCACAATGTATTATAGCAATTTTTGTATTTTTCTGGGCTTAATAATTAAATAAATTAATTAATTATTAATTTATAAAAATATTAAATAATTTAAAAAAATAAAATGCCGAAAAAAATATGTGCCAAAAAATCTAACCCAAAATTTCTTGTTGAGGAATATTTTCACTAATAAATTCAACATTGTTTAACTTAAAATCTCTTTTTTGTTGATCATTAGGAAAATGTGCTTCATCAATTCTTATCAAAAAATGGCATTCGGGGTGTTTGCCAAGTGCACGATACATTGTGTTTAAATTTTCTTGATCTATTCCATTAAAAGATGCAAGTGTTCCAATACTAAGAAAACCAACACATTCTACCTAAAAAATAAAAAAATAATTATATTAAATAAAAGAATTTTTAATCTACATTTTGGAGCAGTACATGATATTTGTGAACTTATAACTTTGCCAATATAGAACCAAATTTAATGAAATTTGGCACGAATGACCCTTATAGTATTAGCTATTAATGTTTTAAATTTCAAAATTTTTGGTTAAAAAATAAATTTTATACATTATTATTCCAAGCACCATCTGTGAAATAATCATTATTATATAAAGCTTTAGATTGATAATTCTCTAACATTTGATCACCAATTGCAATTCCTCCAATAAATTTAATTTTATTATTTAAATCTCTAGGATATGCAGCAAGTTCAGAATGATTAACCAAAAAATATTTAACATTAGAAAATAAAGCTCTAGGTGATTTAAAAGGTTTTTTAAGAGGAATTGCTGATGAATTTATCAATTGAACATTATAATTTTGTTTATATTCGGTATCATATATTTCAGTAAATTTTCTAATTAATTCATTATAATTATTATTATTTTGAATTTGTCGAGCACTTCCTGGTTTACGAATTTCAGCATTTCTTAATCCATCACCTTTTGATGCAGAATAATGCTCTTGAAAATTTAAAATTAAATTATTTTAATTTAAGATTTAACATGTGGATTTAATTTAAAAATTAAAAAAATAAATAAATAACCAGGTACATCAATAGGAATTTTTAATCCTAAAAAATGATAAAAAACGGGTATAGCAGGCGTTGCTGTAGTTGCAATTGTTTTTTCAATTCCTAATTCATTAAATAAAGCAAATCCTGATGTTATTGAACCTATTTCTGCTATTCCTAATTGATAATTTTGATGTTTAAGCCATTCAAATATTCCATACTGACGACCATCCACATAAACAGGAACATTTTTTATCACAGCTAAATAAGTAAATTTAATTAAAAATAATTTTAAAAAATTCCTTACTTTGAAAAAATGTAACTGATCTACATTTAGTCATTTTCCAATAAATATCCAAATTAGTTGTTATACTTTCTTGATCCCAATTGCTTGGAAGTAGACCAACTCCACTAGTATAAAATTTACTATTTTCATATTTTTGATCAATTGGAAGAAGTATAGCTTTAATATCTTCTCCTAAAAGATTTTGAACTTCTTGTTCAAGATTAACATGATGAGTATTTTTTCCTTTGTACGTTGCAATTAAAAATGTCTATAATTTAATTATAATTTAATTTTAATTTTAATTAATTAACTTACCACGCAATAATTTTCATTCAAAATCTTTGCCATTTCTCTCTGAAAAAATTAATTAAAAAATTAAAATTTAAAAATTTTTAACATTGCCAAAATTGCAATTGGCCACAAGAAGTTTGTCTACCTTAAGCTTAAAGTGTTACCTTTTTTTACCCTCCAAATTTCAAAATTTTTAGTTAAAAATTAATAAAGTTATGATTTTTTTAACCTAACCAATTTATGTATTAAAGAATTAAAATAAAAATAAATTATTAAAATTAATTTAATTTAAACTTACAGCCAGAAGATAGTGACTATAATATTGCCCATCAGCCAAATATAGAATTTCATGAGAAACTAAATTAAAAAATATTATTAAAAAATATTTACTTAATTATTTACATTGTTCTCTACCACATTTTGGCATAATTTTACCAACAAATGCAAAAATTAAAAAAATAAATAATTTAATTCTAGTTGAATTAAAATTCATTATAATGTATTAAAAATCTAAAAAAAATATTTTTAAAATTAAATTAAAAATAATTAAAGCTCTAGATTGGAACCAGTTAGCATTTGAAGAAGTTTTTAATTAATTCCAGTCCTATTTTGAAAAGAATTCAAAATTAAAAATAAATTAAAAATATTTAATTTTCTCGAATAAAATTGAAGTAAATAAATAAATTAATGTGAAGAAGGAAGAGGGAGAGCATATGTATAAAGGGTAAGGAAATGAGTGGGAAGGAAGTGAAGAGGAAGTTAATTTTTAAAATTTTAAATTGATTCAGTTAGCATTGTACATTTTATTATAAAATGCATGCAATAAAATAGGGATGGAGAATCGACTTACGCTTCCGTTTTTAAAAACGCGGAAGTCGTTTGCAAGGTGCAAATTTATTTAAATTTATTCAAATTTATTTAAATTTATTTAATGTTTAGTCAATTTCCCTCTATGGTTTTTAGATTTTCGATGACCAACACAATTCGCCGTTTTTTCTTATGTATATAAGAGCCGAAAAGAATTACAGCAAATAGTGATATGGGCAGTATTTTTTAAAGATCCGACGGATACGTATGGTTACCGATTTAGAATTTTATGAACAGAAGGAAAATGTATTTGATTGATAAAAGTAAATAAATGTTGAAGAACAACAATTTTAATAATATGAATGGGAAATTATTCTAAAGTTTTCTCAAAATGGTAATAAAAATAAAATATTTAAAATGTTTGCTTAAAATTTTTTCTCAAATTTTCTTTTGAATTTTTTTGAATTTAAAAATGTTTATTTTCTTCATCTTAATTTGAATTGGAATAAATAGAAGAAAATGATTTATAATTAACATTTAAAAAAAAGTTTTTCCCCTAAAAATTTTGTTTTAATTTTTCATATCAATTTTTGACAATTCATTTTTCATTCTTCTCTCCAATCACAATTCTTTAACTATTGTTTATTTCTCTCCTTCCGTATTTTGTTCTTCTTTATTTAAATAATTATCAATTTTTTCCAAATCTTTTTTTATTTTCAAATCAACAACTAAATTAAATAAATCGTTGAGAATATCTAAAGGTATATCGTTTTGTGTTGGATTAGCTTTGCTAGGTGGAATAGAACGTCCATAAACATTAATTGTTGAAATAAATAAAAATAAAATAAAAATATTTTTAATTTTTAAAATATTATAAAAAATATTTTCGTAAAAAAATTTTGTTTTTAATTATGAAAAATTTTTCGAAAAAATATTTTTTATAATAATTTTTTCTGAATTTTTAACATAAAAACTATATTAAAATATATTAAGTAAATTTAAGTATAATGTTCATAAATTTAATTAAAAAATTGATCTACAGGCATTATTTTGTTAAACATTTGATGAAAATAAATTTAATAAAGAATAATTTAATTGAAAAAAGTCAATGAAAAACAAAAAATTTTTTTTAAATATTTAATCTTAAATGAAATAAAAAATTCAGTAATTGACTTAAATTTATTTGAAAATTGAAAAAAAAAATTTTAGTTTAAAAATATTTCTTTGCTTACATCTCCTTTATTATTTTAAATTGACAATTTCGTTATCCGAATCGACCACCTCCACTTCCCTTGTTATTCCGTTTTTGTCTAAATGAAATTCGTATATTTCTTCATTCAGAATTGAAAATATTGCGACGAAGTGTGAGTCATCATTATATACATCCATTTGACCATCTTCGATATCATTTCTTTCTGTTTCAGACAAATAGATATTTATGGACTGTCTCAAACTTTTCAAAATTTTCTTCTCTAAATCATTCATTTTCTTGAACATTTTGAAAACACATTTTTCCTCATTTTCTTTTTTAATTTTAACAAAAAATTCAAGACACCCTTCACGAAATGCTCTTACGACAATTACAAAATAATTTCCTGAATTTTTAAATTTTAGACAAATTTCAATGTGAGAATATTCCATTATCATTTCAGGTTTTTTGGCATTTAAAGAAAATGGTTCAAATAAATTCACCTTGGTATACTTTTCTTTCTTGAAAATTTTTCTAGGTCCTTCATGATTCAAAAAACATTAATCTTGTTAATTTATAATTCTTTTAAAAAAAATAAATACTCAAGTTCTTACACCGTTTATGTCTATATATTTTTGCTGAAGAATATTATCTCTTGCAATATTATCATCTGACAGCTGATTTGCTTCCAAATTGATATGTCCATTAAATATAGGTAGCAAAGTCATTAATTCCTAAAAATGAAAACGTGTTGGTCATTTAAAAAAAACAAGTTGGGCGCGTCTCAAATAAAAGATCGATTTTAGCCGTGGATATATACTTTATTTATAAAAGTTCGTGTCACGCTAAAAACGGTAAAGCAAATCAGTTTCATGAAAAAATCTCCATTTTCAATTTTAAAAATACTCTAATTTAAAAAAAAATCAAATTTTTTAAATTTAAACCGAATTTCACCCATGTTTTGTGTAGAACGATTTTTATCTATAGTTTTTCATAGTCTCCCAGTTATTCGGATATTCATTTATTTTTTGGTTTTTGATGACAAATGAACGGACTAGAAAGAAATCCAATAGAAGTGAATAAAAACATAGAGATTTGCTAAAAAATGAGGTGCGTTTATAATTTAGTAACGCACCATAGGGTATTTGTCACGCACTGATGAACAAATACTTAAACCATCTCTGCAATAGATTAAGATATTTTCCAATTGTATTAATTTGTTCCCTTTTTTATCAGTACTTTTAACAACGGTTGTGGGAAAGGTGTTAGTAAATTTGCAGTTCCATCTACCAGGGTTTATAAAAAAAATCATCGTTCTCGTTTTTGCATTAACTTCCAATAAAATTTTTATTTTATTTTCGCCACTTTCTTCAATACTTTCGGTCAATTCCATTTTCAATAATTTTATTTTAAAACTTCCATCCTCATTTTTATTATTTTCTGTGGATTCAACCAAAATTCGTTGATTAATTTTATAAAATGAAAAACAAAAAGAAAATATTAAAAATAATATTTGAGAAAAAAATAAAAATTTGATTAAAAACATTGAAATACTTCTTTTGAATTAGTAAAGAAAAATATTTTTTAATAAAATAATTAAAACTGATTAAAGCTTTATGTCAGATTTGCTTTGATTTTATACGCGGTCTTTTATTGTCTGGATTTAAAATTTAAAAAATTGAGAAATATTAATTAAATTCACATGAAAGACACTTAAATAAAGGTTAAATTAAAAACAAATATTTCAAAATTATTTATTTAAATATTACCTAATACTTTGTACTTTTTGTTTATTATTTAATATGTACTTTTTGTGCATGTACTTTTTTAGAGTGCGGCACTTCTTTATCACTAGTCAAGAAAAAATTTTGTAATTGTTTGACAAATGATAAAGAAATGCCGCACTCTAAAAAAGTACATGCACAAAAAGTGCATTGATTAATAAACAAAAAGTACAAAGTATTAGGTAATATTTAAATAAATAATTTTGAAATATTTGTTTTTAATTTAACCTTTATTTAAGTGTCTTTCATGTGAATTTAATTAATATTTCTCAATTTTTTAAATTTTAAATCCAGACAATAAAAGACCGCGTATAAAATCAAAGCAAATCTGACATAAAGCTTTAATCAGTTTTAATTATTTTATTAAAAAATATTTTTCTTTACTAATTCAAAAGAAGTATTTCAATGTTTTTAATCAACTTTTTATTTGTTTCTCAAATATTATTTTTAATATTTTCTTTTTGTTTTTCATTTTATAAAATTAATCAACGAATTTTGGTTGAATCCACAGAAAATAACAAAAATGAGCATGGAAGTTTTAAAATAAAATTATTGAAAATGGAATTGATTGAAAGTAATAATGAAACTGGCAAAAATAAAATAAAAATATTATTTGAAGTTAATGCAAAAAACGAGAACGATGATTTTTTTATTATTCCTGTTGGATGGAACTGCATGTATAATAATAACAATTTTCTAACAACTATAGTTAAAATTAATGCTGATAAAAACGGGAACAAATTAATACAAATGGAATATATCTCAATATATTACAGTGATGGTTTAAGTATTTGTTCAACAGTTCGTGATAAACACTCTATGGTGCGAATACCTTTTGGTTTAAAATTAGAGTATTTTTTAAATTGAAAATTGAGATTTTTTATGAAACTGATTTGTCCACGGCCAAAATCTTAATCTTTTTATACAAAACTTGATCTGTTTTTTGAGACGCGTTTAATCTTGTTGTTGAAGTGATCAACTCATTTCATTTTTAGGAATTAATGACTTTGCTACCTATATTTAATGGACAAATCGATTTGGAAGCAAATCAGCTGTCAGATGATAATACAAATTATATTTTGAAATATATAGAAATAAACGGTGAAAGGGCTTGGGTAAATATTAAGTTAAGAAAAAATTATAAATTAACAAGATTAATATGTTTTTTGAATCATGAAGGGCCGAGAAAAATTTTAAAAAGAGAAAATTATATCAAGGTTAATTTATTTGAACCATTTTCTTTAAATGCCAAAAAACCTGAAATGATAATGGAATATTCTCACATTGAAATTTGTCTAAAATTTAAAAATCCAGGCAATTATATTGTAATTGTCGTGAGAAAATTTTATGAGGGTTGTCTTGAATTTTTTGTTAAAATAAAAAAAGAAAATGAAGAAAAATGTGTTTTCAAAATGTTCAAGAAAATGAATGATTTAGAGAAAAAAGTTCTGAAAAGTTTGAGACGGTCCATAAATATCTTTTTGTCTGAAACGGAAAGAAATGATATTGAAGATGGTCAAATGGATGTATATGATGAAGACTCATACGTCGGCAAAAATCGAGAAAGGGTTTTAGAAATATATTCAATTCTGAATGAAGGAATATACGAATTTCATTCAGACAAAAACGGAATAACAAGGGAAGTGGAGATGGTCGATTCGGATATCGAATTTGTCAATTAAAATAATAAAGGAAATGTCAGCAACAAAATAATTTAAATGTCAGCAACAAAATAATTTTTTTTGGGCTGGGAATTAGATGGAGAAAAACAAAAAGTATATTAATTAGAATTTTAATTTTTATTCACAATTTAATTCAAATAAGTATTTTTTAAAAACTTGTAGTGAGGTAATAGTTAAGTATAAACGTTGGAAAAAGATCGTATAGAGTGTTCTGATCAGACAGAATTAGTCAAATTTACTGATACTTTAGCCTCCGGCTAGAGTATATCTAAAGCTTTATTTAGACAATTAAAATGTTTGTTCTGCCAAACGAAGTTCAACTTGATGTCTTAAAATACCTTAATTTCAACGAATTAATCTCTGTTAAACAAACAAATTTTTACTTTTGCAATTTAATTAATAAATATGAGGGAGGATTGGCACGAATGAAATTCAATAAACTTCAAATGGTTAATATTTATTAAATATAATTTTTTTATTTAAATTAATTTTGGATTGACGATGAGTTTCTTAAAGGAGGACAATCATATAAATTCATTGAACTTAGATCCGGAGTTTTTGAATTTAATTTAAATGATCAACTTAAGAAGAAGGTTAAATTAATTTTTAATTAAATTAATTTTTAATTTTTTTCAGTGGCAAACAGCAATAGAAAATTCAATTCCGTTGTTTTTAAATAATTATGGAAATGTTAGAAACTTTCTTGTTTGTATTGAGAAAGCATCCTCCTATTTATTGCACGGAAACCCTTAATATATTTTAAAATTCCCAAACATTCCGCAAAATATTGAAGAAATGATTATTATTCGGTGTTGGTTGGAACAACTTTTAAAGTGTGCCTTTGTATATGCTTTTTTTAATATTAATGTACTTAATCCAGAATTGATCAATATATTATTCAATAACGACAAATCAATTCAATTTAACTTTCAAAAACTTTTTATTTTTGCTAGTAACAAAACATTTGAAAGTGTTTTGAAATTCTCTTTAAATCATTTAACAATTTCTGAATCTCTTCATATCTGTTTGGATAACGTTGACATTACGGAACAAGATACAAAATTTTTATACAATATTTTAATAAATGAAGGCAATAAATTCCCAAAAATTCGTTTAAGAAGTTCTAAGTTAAGACCGCTTTATGATATTATGATAGAAGTAATTTGTCTTCTATAAAATCAAAAATAAATTTAAATTTTTAGTATATAACAACATCGAGAGATTTTTCAAAAATGGTGACTGTTATTGATATTAATCTGTTTGCTCCCCCAAGTTTTAAATTAAATGAAAGGGCAGAAAAAATTGAAATTAAACAAATTAATTATACAAAATATACAAATTATCAAATTGCTAATATTCACAATCCAAAAGTTAGATTTTCACTCTGCAATAAAGAACGAGATGACGGAATAATTTTTTGCATCCAAATCAGTAAAATGACAGAATAGAATTTGAGAAGCGAACTCGAATTTTATTTGGACAAAAAAGATTAAAATTTGACATTTTCTTTGATTTTTGATAAATTACCTAAATTTAATTTTGATAAATTTGTTTGTTCTTCACATCCCTTTAACAATCCTTTGTCGATTTTCTAGTTTTTTTGATAAAAAGTACAAGTCAACTCTTTTTTGTGTTTGGTGAAAATTATTCCAAAATTACTCATCAACAATTTCCCAAACTCAATAACTTTTTACTAAGTTGACAGTTTTTATAGATATTTGGTATTTTATGTCTATATTTTATAGCATTTTTTGACGTAAAAATTATGTCTAAATTAGAACCCTAACACCAATTTTAAATCAACTAAAATCTGAAAATATGTAGTGTAGATTTAAATGATAATCAAAACAATAATAATGAGTGGATGATGGCAAGTTTAACTTTTCAAGTAAATTTAAGAGAAATTAACATTTTCTAGAAACAGCCCTGATTTAAAATAAATTTACAGGCTTTGTCCTTCAAAAAATGATACAAATTTTATCGAAACAAAATCAAATTAATCAAAAGTAAATGAAAAACATTTTACAAATATTTTTTGTCCAATAAATTAAATGAAAATTTTCAATCAGTCCCAAATTAAATTCTTTTTATTTTAACATCATTGTAAAAAACCCATGAAGCACTTGATTGTTCATTGCGGAATGCAAATTTCACTTTTGGATTGTAAATATTGGTGATTTGATAATTCGTATATTTTTTATCATCTACTTGCTTAAATTCAACATTTTCTGCTCTTTCACTTAATTTAAAAGGTGGAGAATTGTCAAATTGAAAAAGAATATCAGATACAATCTTTGAGCAATCCTTCGATGTTGCTATATGCTGAAATTTAAATTTATTTTTTAACTTATAAATAGATGGATTACTTCTGTAATAAGATCATGAAGCCTCGCTAGCTTATAACTTGTAAACTTAATTTTTGGTATTTTATTGCCTTCAGTTATTAAAACATTGAATAAAATATTAGTATATTTTTCTGTGAAATTAACATCTCTTAAATCGAAATCAAGAGATTTCGAGATTGATAAATGATTTGAAACGAATTTCATAACATTTTCAAATATTTCATTGTAAGCAAGTAGAGTTGCAACTTTTATGTTAAACAGACGAGGAATTGTTTCGTCATTATCGAATAATATATTAACCATTTCTGGATTAAATACACTTCTGAAGAAACAAAGAGAACCAAAAGCACATTTGAATAGGCGTTCTAACCAGCAACGAGCAATAATCATTTCTTGGATATTTTTTGGAAAGGTTGGCAGTTTTAAACGATAGACAAGTTCTCGATTCATTAGATCTAGAAAATATAGTTTTTAGTAAAAAATCAGGTATCTAAGAGGAAATAAAAATGTTTTCACCCGAGGCGTCCAAAATTATTCGTGGTCCTCTTGAACATACAGTAATAGAAACAGTTGTAGTTAAATTTCCAGAATTCTTTAAAAACAACGGAATTCTCCTAGTTATCGCATTTAGCCACTAAAAATAAATGAAATTTAATTAAAAATTAATTTAACCCTCTTTCTAAGTTGAGCATTTAAAGTAAATCCAAAAACTCCCGATTGAGGTTCGATGGCCTTATATGTGAATAATGGACGAGGAAAACCATAATCAGAATCATCACGTTCATCCTAAAATTAATTTAAATAGAAAATGTGTGTTAACAAATAGATTTACTATAGAGATTCGACCGAATTCCATTCTCGCCAATTCCCCCTCGTATTTATTAATTAAATTTCGAAAATAAAAATTGGTTTGTTTAACAGCGAATAATTCGTTGAAATTAAGATATTTTAATATAAGAAGTTGAACTTCAATTGGTAAGGAAAGCATTTTAATTATCTAAAAATGGAAATAAAAAACTAAAATAGGAAAAGTAAATAAGCAAAATGGCAAAACTTGACCTTTATTCCATGCCTTTATTATATGAGTAATTAAGGGCGGGAAGTAAAGGTCAAATATGGACAAGTTTGATTTATAGGTTAATAAAAGATTAAATTAGAAAGCATAGATAGGAATAAATTCAAATAATGTTTTGGGGAAATGTTGTATTTTTTGAGGGAATAATTTGAATAAATAGGGGGAAACATTTAGAATAGAAATAACAGGATCAACCCAGAATATGGACATCCTAAATATCGTTGACCCTAAATATCGGGAAGCATATGATCTATAATTAATTTCTATATTTTTTCATTTATTTAAAGTAAAGTGTTTAAGTTTAAACACAAATTACGGGGAAGGTTCTGCGAAAAGAATATAATCAAAACTAAATTTTTTAAATTCAATTATACAACTTGGAAATTTGTTTTTTTCTAATTGAATTTTTAGATTTCAATTTCCAATTCTAATTGAAATTCTGATTTTTAATTTTTTTGTCGTTAATATAAATTTTTATTAAAATAAAATTCAAATAAAATTCTAATCTTTTAATCGTTTTTGATAGAAAAATATTAGAGCTTTTGAAAACATTGTAAATAATTAATTTCGTTGTTCAAAACTATCTTCTATAAAATAGTGAATTTAATCTTTAGTTTATTTTTGTTGAAAAGAATAATTTATTTCATTTTACTCTACTATTTTCCACATTTTTGCTTAAATCGATGAAATGAATATAAACATTGTCATCTAATATGTATCCACCAGGGCTGGGCTTAATGAAAAAATAAAAAGCGAAATGCGAAATGCGAAATTTTTCGCGCCAAAAAATGCGAGAATGCGAAAGATGCGAAATTGCGAAATAAGCCCAGCCCTGGTATCCACCATTTCTGACACGAACAATCATTCAACGTTTATCTAAGCTGTCTGAGAACATTTTAAAAATAATTTGTTGTTCAACAAAATAAAATAAAATTTGCATTTTCATCATTCTCAAATCTTTAATTTTTCATTCAATTTTTTATTGGCAGAAATTTTAATTTGTCAAATGCCAACAAAATACCATAAATCCAAAAGTTCATTTAAAAAATAGCATCGAGATACATTGGATTGAATTTTTTATCTCTCGGTCTCGACTCTCGGTCTAGTCTCGGTCTCAAGGTTGATTCCAGGTCTCGGCTCGATTCTCGGCTTTTTTAACTCCCGAAAATAACTACTGCGTCCTTCGCGGCGACACTTTTAAATTCAAAAATGTTTAAATTTTTGGTGTTGCGACAATTGAGGATACGCACTTGAGGATATGACAAATGAGGATGATAAATGAGGATCTGACATATGAGGACGACAAATGAAGACGACATATGAGGATATGCCAAATGAGGACGACAATTGAGGATTAAAATAATAATAAAAAACGGTGATCCTTGACCTTTTGAAATTCAAAAATGTTCGCCTGCGGCGCTGGAAAGAGAAGGGTAAAATTCCGTCATATCTCCCAGAAACCGATCCGGACAAACGAAATGCCATTCGAAAGAGTTCACCGAGCTGAGTCGAACGACACCAAAATTAGCTTCGGGACTCACCTGTGGGCCGAGATATAGGTCCCCGAAAATCGAAAAACCAAAGGGGGGACCAAGCACTTTTTTGGGGTAAAAAATTCGAATATGCAAATTATACCTCATTCGAAAGAGCTCGTCGAGCTGAGTCGAATGACACCAGAATCAACGAAATCTGACTTGATTTGAGAAAGTTATGACCATTTGTTTTAGCTCCTTACCTATGGCATCTGTAAAGATTTTTGCTGCTACGGAGGCCCCAAATACGTCCAGAGCAAGGGAGATAGGAATAGGTTTATGTTACGAGCCCAGACCCAGCGCCCGTAGACTCCCCGCGAGGCGTGTGCCGCAAAACCCCGCGCGAAGCGCGGGGTTTTGCACAAGCGCCTCGCCGACGCCCATAGGGTTACGTTGTCCATTTTGAAAAATTCACATTTTCAGCGCCGCAGGCGAAAATTTTTTGAATTTTGGGACTCAAGAAGCCAGATTTCTTCCATTTTCTGCGCCGCAGGCGAAAATTTTGAGGATTTTGGATGGCCAAGCACTAGGTCCAAAAAGGCCAAAAAACCAAGACCAAAAAATAAAACCAAGACAAGACCAAGACAAACACTCCAAGACCAAGACCAAGACCGAAAAAAAACCAAGAAAAGTCTTGGTTCCAAGACCAAGACCAAGAGTCTCGGACAGCTCTAATAAATACCCATAACTAAAATTATTTGTTTATATAACTGTCATTAATTAATTCTAAAAATAATTTTTTTAAATTGTTTTAAAAGGAAATAAAATTTATTAATTTATTTTTGCAAACACAAAAATTTAAAAATAAATTAATTCAATAAAAATTTTTGCCATATTTTTAAAATTTTTGCTAAAAATTAAATTTATTTATATTTAATTTTTTGCAAATTTTTAAAAAATTGTTAAACAAAAATTTTTTATTAATCAAATTATTAATAAAGAAACAATATTTATTTTTAAAAAATATAATTTAATTTATCCAAATTATTAATCAACATTTATTTATTATATATACAGGAATACCTTGGTTTTAATATCAACTTTAAACATCCCCGCCTTTTAAATATTTATTAGAATTAAATAAAGCTTTGATTTCAAACGGGATTAGTCACCATTCGACTTAACTTGACGAGCTTTTCGAATGACCTATAATTTGACCCGTTTGCTTTCTGTTTAGTATTCCGAAATTATACCAAAATTACTTTTAAAAATTTTTAGATTCCCTTATTTTGAACAACTTCCACCTGTTTACGGAAAACCCTCCTCCATTCCCGCGATACGTCTGTCTACGTTAAGTTGGGGTGTTTTTAATTTTTGAAGAAATTAATATTTTTAGAAAATTTGTTTTCCACTAACTTTCTAAATTTTTGTCAGATATTGTTGAAGTATTTTGTTCATTGTTATGTTTTTTAATTTTGGTGGAAAACTATATTAATTATATAGTAAAATGTGTATAAAAATATTTAAAAAAATAACTGGACAGGATTATCCTGTTA